GCCAAAACAGTCTTTTTAATGCTTAAGTACCGGCGCTCACTTGTGTAGGAAATATCAGTATATTTTGACGAGGTCTACATGTAATTATCAATACAGGACATTATAATCGTAACTTTTATTGTTTTAACCATAACTTTAATGCTTAACTATATAGTGTCTCATAAGCCGATATCGGCTGGGTATCACTTTTATTAATAACTGTTCAATATTGTTTTTATTACTATGTACTGTGATATGTGACACTCAAATAAAATATATTGATTGATTGATTGATTGACTTATAGTGGTTGTCAATATTTTGCATGATTTCATAATTTTGCCTTGAGCAGTATTTTGTGTCATTACCTGCCACAGGCAAAATGACCTTACCTATGTAAGTAGGCCTTGCTGGTATTGTGACTGGTATCCAATCAAATATTACAATTAGCATATGGATTTGTTAATAATTGATTAATTTCTATGTGTAGCGAACAAAGCAAAATGAAAGGCCTTGCTGGTATTCCAATCAAATATTACAATTAGCATATGGATTTGTTAATAATTGATTAATTTCTATGTGTAGCGAATGATGGGGAGTCTATACAGCTAGCGGCCATGTCGAACTCAGGTGGTACGTGCTATGGATTGAATGGACACCTTTTTTGATAACGGCGAGGTACACTCATCTCAGGGGTGACATTCCCAGGACCCCTGGTTTTCTGATTATAATTATTTTGATAAGGAACAGTTATAACAAAGCGATTAACGGTGTTCGGGGCAGTCATAGAGGAAGGGTTGGCTCGGTACACACCTCCTATAAGCCACTAATAAGAGGACAAATTTGGATACGATATTGCAGGTGTTGGTTGTCGTGGAGAGTGTGTAACAGGATTTAAGACCGAACAGTGCACTCATGGGACTTGATCCCTGAACAAGGTTAGTAAGAACGGTGTGTGACAGCTCCAGGACAAATTTGAAACGTCATCTGTCATGTCACACAACTTCTATTTGTGGTGTAAAAAAAAACAGTGCATCAAAGAGCACGTATTTAAATTATATATATGTGTAGATATTTAACCAGATTGATTAGGTAGTCGAATTTGGGAAATATGTATCTCTAGATTAATCGATTTATATTTACACTTCGTGTGTCCAGCGATGTTTATTTCTCGAGTATGTTCACTTCCCAAGCCAATTCCAATCTATGTTTGTTTCCTTGTTGGGAGATTTAGTGTCCAGCAGCTGGATGACACTCTTCATGTGTTTGTGTCGTTAAATTAATCACCCAGGTGTGCAAATCGTGTGTCCAGCGCTGTGTATTCCCCAAATATGTCTATTTTCGTGCTTAATGTCCGACCAAGGTGTTTTCTTGTTGAGAAATTGGCTGTTCGGGGAGAGTTTCGGACACTGTGTGACAAAATAGCTGTAAAATTAAGGTAATTAATTATTTTAAGATACTTAATTGGTAGTAATTAGTGTTAGTTAATGATATATCATTGTGGTGGAGGGATTATATTGATTATATTTTCTTCACATATTGGAACATGTTTTAGATAAGTTGGAAGTTCAATGTACTGTTACAGTTGAGCAGAGAGAAGGATAATTATATCAAATTTAGATTCTCTACATTCCAGATGGACGTTCACATGCATCAATCTCAATATTGGGTTGAGAGGTTTGATAGTTTAACAGTGGTGTAGTCTATCTATCTATCCTATAGTATTGCTTTTTGTATATATATGAAAGTCTGGTTCAATCTCATAGAACTATGTCTTTATAGATATAATTACTGCAAGAAAAGTTGTTACAAAATTGGGTGTCAAAATTAGTGTATCGCAAGATACACAGAATGTTACAGAATGTAGTTCAATATTATTGTATCCCAGATCCCCGGCAGTCGGCGACGGGTCACCCATGGTCACAATAATTGACAGAAAAATCCACGAACGCTCACAAATATTTGAAACCTAAGTAAAACATTCCATAGATGATGACACTACTGTTACTTTACCATCAATTATAGTATAAATTAGTCGAATAACATTCAAGTAGGCCAAAAAAACGAAACGATATAACCTGGCTTCTGCTAGAAAACTAATGGCTGCCGGAGTGGGACAGAACGCGCGCTTCCACTTGTGACCTCACTACTGAAGAGCTCTGTTACAGTGCCGTTCGATGATCTCGTTCAGGTGTGTTTTTAGCGTTTTCGACAATAACTTTGGAATGCGTGGATCGTTTTCGGCGATTTTTGCGGTAAATGAACGAGCAAAGGTTATTTGATTTTATGACACATATATGACAAAGCATTCAGGTTCCTCTTTAAGTCGAGTAATCTTTGGCTGACTGTTGAAGGATTAAGTTGTAAGATTAATTTTATCAAATACGTAATATCAGGGGACTGGGTGTGAATTATGAATGCACCGTTATTCTGTAACTGTATTTACAGTGGTCAGCACTGCTATCTAGTAATCCTATTAGCCTATTAACAAACTTAGCTATCTTTAGGAGCAGCGGTCTGCCATTGATGTTGCGCCGCCGTGGTAAATACAAAGCTGAAACATGAAATTCTCCCGGTACATATGTCTTAGTTCGTGAATTTGCTGAAGTCCACCCTGATATGAAATCCAACCAATGGGGTACTGGATCGTGGCATGGCCATGACCAGAGTTACTAGTTTAGGGATAAAAAGAGGGGAGTTTTGGGGTAGGAGGGGGAGCTCGACTGGACAAGACTCAGCGACAGACTCACATTGCCAAATAAATTAAGAGACCATCTTTCGTCGTCAGCTTGTTGTGTTACACACATGCATCAATCTCAATATTGGGTTGAGAGGTTTGATAGTTTAACAGTGGTGTAGTCTATCTATCTATCCTATAGTATTGTTTTTTGTATATATATGAAAGTCTGGTTTAATCTCATAGAACTATGTCTTTATAGATATAATTACTGGAAGAAAAGTCTAACCATGATACTTCAAGGAAGATAGGCATGTAAATACATTTAATGTAATTACTTACTTCTTTATCTATCTGAAATGCTGTGTACACCCTATCTACCTTCCTCAACTACAAATATAATTATAATAAGTTAGGACTATTACTTTGCAATACATTTAAAATAAAGAGGTATAAAGTCCTTTCGATTTGTCTAAATCCTCATATTGGTAGGATAGTAATTGCAGCATCTTTGGTATTTCAAAGGTTTTATCTAGTCAACTTCATCATAGAGCTATTTATCATTTGGCTTGTTGGCGATAAATATATGGTTGTGTGTATTTTGTTTTTACCTATTTTGATTTGTTCACATTATTGTCGTCAAATTTGAAATAAGTATATAAGAAGATATAAAATCGCTTAAAATTAAGAAAAATAGCCTCTGGTTCTTTGATTTTAGTAATTTTTGCATTCTAAGGTGTAGGAGTATGGAGAAAGTAATATAGCCTCTAAGTACTGTCAGTACTTTGATTATAAGATAAATTGCTGGAAATAAATGTGTCACTAATTCAAACTACTGTTTAATGAAACTTATTCATTTGATAAGCAATGTGTCAAGTAACACATCTGGATTTTCATATGGGATTGGTTGAAATAAGTTAGCTTAAACAATAGTTCGTTTAATGTTCTAAAGTTTATCAATATAACACACATAGGTAGTTCACAGGGGCGTGGATAATTACTTGCATATATACACTTAGGTTGGTGTAGTCTGGGCCCCGAGAATCTGATCAGTGGGTGTACAGCTTCGGCCAGTTAATTAATTAGAGACTATCCCCACTTCCTTGATAATCACACTTATGCAATTTCCCGTTCGGACAGTGGCCACCTAGTAGTAGAGTAATTATCAGGGTCTATTTCAAGTAACAAATTAGCAGGGAGGATCTCAACCTTGCACCTCGAGCACAGGTGGGCATACTTCAACAATCGTATCATCTAGCAACAAGTTAAGGCCACATTAGGGGATGGCCGGACAAGCTTGGTCCAGAGTAAGATAAAAGGGGGAGATCTTTAGGTTAGAAGACACTGCCTTGGGGGAGCCCACCAGACGGACAGACGACATCACACCTGTATCCAGTGCCAGTAATAAACTACAGAAGTACCAGCAGCCGAGTTTGTCTCTTGTTTTGTAACACTCCCCTCCTCCCTGCCCCCTAGACAATTGTAACAAAACGAGTAAAAAAAAAAAAAAAAAGGGGGGGGGGGGGTTAATGATAACTTTGGAATGGTGTGTATCGTAGAGAGCAGCATCTTAGTTTAAAGTACATCAGGTCAAAAGTCAGTTAATGCTGGACCGAGGAAAAGATCCCGTGAGTGATAGGTAGTGATGCACGCCTGATAACGGGCGGGATGTGTACCCAAGTGGTGAAGCACCGTGGCAGAATATCGCCAGTATGATGCTCTCTTTTGTGTGTCTCGCGCTGGCGCACGTATTTGTAAATAAACAAGATAAGAAACAATGTATAAGGTAGATAAAAGACGGGAAGTTGATAACGGGAAACTCTAGTCGCACGTGCCTTCGGGGGCTGGGTTATTGTTGTCCAATTGGGACTAGGCTTAAATTAAGTATTTTGGTATTATTTATACAAAGACAATAGCCAGCAGAAGTCTAGTCGTGTTTGAGATCGAGTAGCTAGAGAGAGTTGGGAGTCGGACGTGGAGACGGGCAGAGTCTCGTATGGGACCTGCTCCGCGTTGGAGCGGGGCCCTGGCCAAGTTGGCCCATGGACATTTGTATGGAACTCTTTGATATGGACGGGTAGGTGTTTAGTTTTTGTCTGCCTTACACAGGTGGTTATTTTTGGTGCCACGACATGCTGCTGTATGTTGATTAGGAACTATCTTTTGTAATGGATATTAACGCGAAGTACTAATTATGGAAAACCACTATACGATGAAATAAACGTTTCGGCCAACCCAAGTAAACACCGTGTTTAGTCATTGTGTTACACAATGCTGTTTTGAGTTTGATACCACATGAATCCTGTTTGCAGCAACTGACTACATAGTTACTTAACCAAAACAAAAATGCCTGGACGGGCCAGAGGACGATCCAGAGGTCGGTCTCGAGGAAGTGGAACTCCTCAGGAAGAGCCTTCCAGAAGACCAGGGAAAGAACAAAAAAGCGCACCACCAGTAAGCACTGTTTGTTAATAATTACAGAATCGTGTTCTAATGAGAGTCAATTTTTATTTCAATTTCTAAAATGTATCAGTGTTTTCCAATAAAACTTCTAGTTCAGCAATTATTCTCTTCCAATAAGGTATAATTTGCAAAAATTATCATGATCAAGACAATTGGTTGTTCATTATGCACTTACTACTGAGGGGTAGAGTACATTTTACATTGGGAATTTTGTAAATCAACAGAATATATTTTTTATTATAGAAATATAGATAATAGTGTGCTGAACTGTCAACACATTTAAACCAGGTTTGGAAGATGAAATTATGTAGAGATATAATTGTAACCTGAATTCTGATCAATCTAGGTAATACTCACAGGGTGTTTTGTAGGTAGGAACATTTGTATATGTTATTCTTTTACAAGTTAAAATAATTAACTTTTGATAGGAATCAATTTGAAACACAATATGGATTTATTATTTCATCATACTGTCAAATGAGTTTGATTGTGTTACTGTTTTTCTCCAGACAACAGTAGCTGAGATTTATTGTGTTACTGTTTTTCTCTCCAGCCATCAGTAGCTGAGTTTTATTGTGTTACTGTTTTTCTCCAGCCATCAGTGGCTGAGTTTGATTGTGTTACTGTTTTTCTCCAGCCATCAGTAGCTGAGTTTTATTGTGTTACTGTTTTTCTCTCCAGCCATCAGTAGCTGAGTTTTATTGTGTTACTGTTTTTCTCTCCAGCCATCAGTAGCTGAGTTTTATTGTGTTACTGTTTTTCTCCAGCCATCAGTAGCTGAGTTTTATTGTGTTACTGTTTTTCTCTCCAGCCATCAGTAGCTGAGTTTTATTGTGTTACTGTTTTTCTCTCCATCCATCAGTAGCTGAGTTTTATTGTGTTACTGTTTTTCTCTCCAGCCATCAGTAGCTGAGTTTTATTGTGTTACTGTTTTTCTCCATCCATCAGTAGCTGAGTTTTATTGTGTTACTGTTTTTCTCCATCCACCAGTAGCTGAGTTTGATTGTGTTACTGTTTTTCTTTCCAGCCATCAGTAGCTGAGTTTTATTGTGTTACTGTTTTTCTCTCCAGCCATCAGTAGCTGAGTTTTATTGTGTTACTGTTTTTCTCCAGCCATCAGTGGCTGAGTTTTATTGTGTTACTGTTTTTCTCTAGCCATCAGTAGCTGAGTTTGATTGTGTTACTGTTTTTCTCTCCAGCCATCAGTGGCTGAGTTTGATTGTGTTACTGTTTTTCTCTCCAGCCATCAGTAGCTGAGTTTTATTGTGTTACTGTTTTTCTCCAGCCATCAGTAGCTGAGTTTGATTGTGCTGAGTTTGATTGTGTTACTGTTTTTCTCTCCAGCCATCAGTGGCTGAGTTTGATTGTGTTACTGTTTTTCTCTCCAGCCATCAGTAGCTGAGTTTTATTGTGTTACTGTTTTTCTCCAGCCATCAGTGGCTGAGTTTGATTGTGTTACTGTTTTTCTCCAGCCATCAGTAGCTGAGTTTGATTGTGTTACTGTTGTTCTCTCCAGCCATCAGTGGCTGAGTTTGATTGTGTTACTGTTTTTCTCCATCCATCAGTAGCTGAGATTTATTGTGTTACTGTTTTTCTCCAGCCATCAGTAGCTGAGTTTGATTGTGTTACTGTTTTTCTCTCCAGCCATCAGTAGCTGAGTTTGATTGTGTTACTGTTTTTCTCCATCCACCAGTGGCTGAGTTTGATTGTGTTACTGTTTTTCTCCATCCATCAGTAGCTGAGATTTATTGTGTTACTGTTTCTCTCCATCCATCAGTAGCTGAGTTTTATTGTGTTACTGTTTTTCTCCATCCATCAGTAGCTGAGTTTTATTGTGTTACTGTTTTTCTCTATCCATCAGTAGCTGAGTTTTATTGTGTGACTGTTTCTCTCCAGCCATCAGTAGCTGAGATTTATTGTGTGACTGTTTCTCTCCAGCCATCAGTAGCTGAGATTTATTGTGTTACTGTTTTTCTCTCCAGCCATCAGTAGCTGCCCCTCCCCCTAGTGAGGCTATGAGTATAGTCAATAACAGTAGGGGACATTACTGTGGTGGATTGACAACACCCAGACCAGGGGCAGGAGATTTCGTGAGAGCTCCAGTGTTGGAGATGACTCAGTTGAGAGTTGGAACCAGAGATGCCAGACAAATAGGAAGGAGAAGGGAGGATTTTTATTATGCTGATGTCCATACCCGTCGAGCTCATAACATAGACAAAAAAGGTTAACCCTGTGTTTTCTTCTTTTTATCATTTTCCAATGATTTAAAAAAAAATGACTGCAATGAATTTGGGAGCTGTGACGGCATTCTGTATAAAACTTGTTCAGTGAGTGATAGATCACACTAGCATTAATGTACCAATATCAAAATTCATGTGTAATTTTTTTAAGAAGGCATTAATGTACTGATATATACTGTACATTGATCAAACCATTATGTATATTACATGACCTCACAAAAGCATTCACAAAGCTTTTTCACAGCGATTTCAGGGTGGTCAGGTGGCGCAGTGGTAACACTCTCGCAGTGGTAACACACTCGCAGTGGTTACACACTCGCAGTGGTAACACACTCGCAGTGGTAACACACTGACAGTGGTTACACACTCGCCTTTCAACAAGTAAACTAAGGTTCAGTACTTTGATTGGAAGAGGTATGAGGTCATCTGCCTGACCCTTTGCACACTTGAATCTGCACCACCAAGCTTGGTTAATATAAGCTACTTGCTTTTTCATAATTACTATAATGAAAGAATCTAATCGTGACCAGTATGATGAGATAATTAGGCTCTTAGACTCCCTGTAAACATATCCAGTCTGTTCATGGTACATTGAACAGGTGACCATCACAAAAGTTTTGTCAGTATTTTGATTGTGGAGAGAATTTAAAAACATCACAGATTTCCTTTTGAACTTTAAAATAAATGTGAAAAAATTGGCGTTTAAGCAGGTAATGTAGGTCACTCTTGTTTGTTTGGATGAAGATGTTCAGGAACGTGTTTTTCACGAGGAAACGTGCGTAAAAAAGAAAAGACACAAGACAAAAAGTTATTGTAAAGATCATACAATCTTTTAGAATTGTAAAACTTTTAAGATCTTTGACGAGGGACATGCTGTCCTACATTGTTTAATAACTTGTAGATTTCAACTACTTCTCTTTATTTTACATTGCAGGAAGTTCTGGGATGCCGATACAACTTGTGGCCAACTTTTTTACTTTTGACTGTGATGAAGAGTGGGCCCTTTACCAGTATCACGTGGACTTCAACCCAGTGATAGAGAGTCGTAAGATGAGAGCAGGACTACTCTCAACACATGCTGAGCTTCTGGGGCGAACCAGAATGTTTGATGGAATGATCTTGTATTTGCCTCGAAGACTGCCACAAGAGGCAAGATAAATAGAACACCGATGTTATTTAGATTTGTAGATGTTGGCATTTGTTGATTGGACTTTTAAAAGGTCATCAAAAAAACAATATGAATTTGTTTTACTGTAATTAACTTATGGGTCTAAGATGCTTAGGGTGGTCACTTCCCTGCAATTTCACAATACAAATACTTTCTGTATTATGTCAGGACATTCAAATTAAATTTATTGATGTTCGTATACCATACATGCACCTTCTGTGCTGATGTGATATGTACAGCTAAATCCTTGACTTCTAGTTATTAAACAAATTTGCATTTTGACCCTTACATGGTTGTAACTATCCTTTTCTATTCTCTTCAGACAACTAAGGTTTTCAGTCAAACAAATCATGGCGGTGAAAATATTCGCATTACAATCAAATTGACTAACACCTTCAACAGTTCCAGTCCGCAGTTCTTGCATTTTCTCAACGTATTATTAAAAAGGTAAATTGGAAATATTAATCCTAGAATTAACTAAAAATTTGTCTTAACAGAAAATATGATAAGTGTTTTATAACATAAAGGATTTAGTGTTTAGGGTGATGCCATTGATAATTTAATGTATAGACTGCTCATTAGAACTGATATGTGACTTACCAAGGTAACATGGCTAATGGGTGACTTAGCTACGCTGACTTTATTACATCAACACTTTAACTGTACTGAAGTATTTGACATACTAAAGCAGCATTGTGTAAGCTTTTACACTTACTGACCTTGACAAGTTTTATCTCTAGGTTCATGGCTTTATATCATTGATCATTATTTGAGTGTTGTTCGTTGACCTCCTTTATAGTGAATTAAAAATTTATTGTCATTATGCTTTTGATGATTTTGGATGGATTGGTGATGATATTTTCATTCTGTTTAATGATTGAAAAGTAAATTTGTTTGATTTTCTACAGAGCACTGCACCTGATCAACATGGAGCCAATCGGTAGGAACTATTATAACATGGAACTTTCTGTCGAAATTCCTCAACACAAGTAAGTTATTTTCTTTGAATTAACCTTCGGCCAGGCTTACTATAACTATTTCCCAGATACATGGTCACTACATGTGTATTATGATGATGACACTTTTATTATGTAACACATAGTGGTTATTTCTATAACAACAGGTGATTTTTGTTCCAACAGGTGACAAGGTATATACCGTAAGCTTCTGATCTTGAACAACAAATGTTATTTGAGTAAATGTGAAGCAATAACTTCATGCATACTGTAAGGATTGGTATGAGGTCATGTTGTACATCTAACGTCAGTTTCTGCAGTGAAAATAATGATATCCGGTCCTACAAACAAATACAAAAAAGGAACCAGTTCCTGGAGTTGTAATGGAGATCCATTTTCACATTTCTCCTCTGTAATTATATACACTTCTCCTTCCGGAATCATATTTTCTTTGTGTTATGTGGATATTTGTGTATGTGACTTGTGTTATGTCTGGCTTTGTGTGTGTGACTTGTGTTATGTCTGGCTTTGTGTGTGTGACTTGTGTTATGTCTGGCTTTGTGTGTGTGACTTGTGTTATGTCTGGCTTTGTGTGTGTGAACTGTGTTATGTCTGGCTTTGTGTATGTGACTTGTGTTATGTCTGGCTTTGTGTGTGTGACTTGTGTTATGTCTGGCTTTGTGTGTGTGACTTGTGTTATGTCTGGCTTTGTGTGTGTGTGTGATTGGGCTTTGTGTTGACTTGTGTTATGTGTCTGGCTTTGTGTATGTGACTTGTGTTATGTCTGGCTTTGTGTGTGTGACTTGTGTTATGTCTGGCTTTGTGTGTGTGACTTGTGTTATGTCTGGCTTTGTGTGTGTGACTTGTGTTACATTGGGCTTTGTGCATTTGTGTTATGTCTGGCTTTGTGTGTGTGACTTGTGTTACATTGGGCTTTGTGCATGTGACTTGTGTTATGTTTGGCTTTGTGCATGTGACTTGTGTTATGTTTGGCTTTGTGTGTGTGACTTGTGTTATGTCTGACTTTGTATATGTGACTTGTGTTATGTGGGGCTTTGTGTGTGTGACTTGTGTTATGTCTGGGTTTGTGTTTGTGACCTGTGTTATGTCTGGCTTTGTGTATGTGACTTGTGTTATGTCTGGCTTTGTATGTGTGACTTGTGTTATGTCTGGCTTTGTGTGTGTGACTTGTGTTATGTCTGGCTTTGTGTATGTGACTTGTGTCTGGCTATGTGACTTGTGTGATGTCTGGCTTTGTGTGTGTGACTTGTGTTATATCTGGCTTTGCATATGTGACTTGTGTTATGTCTGGCTTTGTATATGTGACTTGTGTTATGTGGGGCTTTGTGTGTGTGACTTGTGTTATGTCTGGGTTTGTGTTTGTGACTTGTGTTATGTCTGGCTTTGTGTGTGTGACTTGTGTTATGTCTGGCTTTGTGTGTGTGACTTGTGTTATGTGTGGCTTTGTGTGTGTGACTTGTGTTATGTCTGGCTTTGTGTATGTGACTTGTGTTATGTCTGGCTTTGTGTGTGTGACTTGTGTTATGTCTGGCTTTGTGTGTGTGACTTGTGTTATGTCTGGCTTTGTGTGTGTGACTTGTGTTATGTCTTTGTGTGTGTGACTTGTGTTATGTGGCTTGACTTGTGTGTGTGTGTGACTTGTGTTATGTCTGGCTTTGTGTATGTGACTTGTGTTATGTCTGGCTTTGTATGTGTGACTTGTGTTATGTCTGGCTTTGTGTGTGTGACTTGTGTTATGTCTGGCTTTGTGTATGTGACTTGTGTAATGTCTGGCTTTGTGTTTGTGACTTGTGTTATGTCTGGCTTTGTGTGTGTGACTTGTGTTATGTCTGGCTTTGTGTGTGTGACTTGTGTTATGTCTGGCTTTGTGTGTGTGACTTGTGTAATGTCTGGCTTTGTGTTTGTGACTTGTGTTATGTCTGGCTTTGTGTTTGTGACTTGTGTTATGTCTGGCTTTGTGTGTGTGTGTGACTGTGTGTAATATCTGGCTTTGTGTGTGTGACTTGTGTTATGTCTGGCTTTGTATATGTGACTTGTGTTATGTAGGGCTTTGTGTGTGTGACTTGTGTTATGTCTGGCTTTGTGTGTGACTTGTGTTACATTGGGCTTTGTGCATGTGACTTGTGTTATGTTTGGCTTTGTGTGTGTGACTTGCGTTATGTGGGGTTTTGTGTATGTGACTTGTGTGATGTCTGGCTTTGTGTGTGTGACTTGTGTTATATCTGGCTTTGCATATGTGACTTGTGTTATGTCTGGCTTTGTGTTTGTGACTTGTGTTATGTCTGGCTTTGTGTGTGTGACCTGTGTTATGTCTGGCTTTGTGTGTGTGACTTGTGTAATGTCTGGCTTTGTGTTTGTGACTTGTGTTATGTGACTTGTGTAATGTCTGGCTTTGTGTGTGTGACTTGTGTTATGTGTGTGTGACTTGGTTATTTGGCTTTGTGTGTGTGTGTGTTACTTTGTGTGTGTGACTTGTGTTATGTCTGGCTTTGTGTTTGTGACTTGTGTTATGTCTGGCTTTGTGTGTGTGACTTGTGTTATGTCTGGCTTTGTGTTTGTGACTTGTGTTATGTCTGGCTTTGTGTGTGTGACTTGTGTTATGTCTGGCTTTGTATATGTGACTTGTGTTATGTGGGGCTTTGTGTGTGTGACTTGTGTTATGTCTGGGTTTGTGTTTGTGACTTGTGTTATGTCTGGCTTTGTGTGTGTGACCTGTGTTATGTCTGGCTTTGTGTTTGTGACTTGTGTTATGTCTGGCTTTGTGTATGTGACTTGTGTTATGTCTGGCTTTGTGTGTGTGACTTGTGTTATGTCTGGCTTTGTGTGTGTGACTTGTGTTATGTCTGGCTTTGTGTATGTGACTTGTGTAATGTCTGGCTTTGTGTGTGTGACTTGTGTTATATCTGGCTTTGCATATGTGACTTGTGTTATGTCTGGCTTTGTGTGTGTGACCTGTGTTATGTGGGGCTTTGTGTGTGTGACTTGTGTTATGTCTGGCTTTGTATATGTGACTTGTGTTATGTGGGGCTTTGTGTGTGTGACTTGTGTTATGTCTGGGTTTGTGTTTGTGACCTGTGTTATGTCTGGCTTTGTGTATGTGACTTGTGTTGTGTTATGTCTGGCTTTGTATATGTGACTTGTGTTATGTGGGGCTTTGTGTGTGTGACTTGTGTTATGTCTGGGTTTGTGTTTGTGACTTGTGTTATGTCTGGCTTTGTGTGTGTGACTTGTGTTATGTATGTCTGGCTTTGTGTGGCTTGTGTTTTGTGTGTGTGACTTGTGTTATGTCTGGCATTGTGTATGTGACATCTGAAATGAATGGCTAAGAGTTTGTGACATGTGTAATATCTGGCTTTGTGTGTGTGACTTGTGTTATGTCTTTGTGTGTGTGCTTGTGTTATTTGTGTGTGACTTGTGTTATGTCTGGCTTTGTGTGTGTGACTTGTGTTATGTCTGGCTTTGTGTGTGTTGTGTGTGTGACTTGTGTTATGTCTGGCTTTGTGTGTGTGACTTGTGTTATGTCTGGCTTTGTGTGTGTGACTTGTGTTATGTCTTGTGTGTATGTGTTGGCTTTGTGTGTGTGTGTTATGTGTGTGTGTGTGACTTGTGTTATGTCTGGCTTTATGTCTGGCTTTGTGTGTGTGACTTGTGTTATGTCTGGCTTTGTGTGTGTGACTTGTGTTATGTCTGGCTTTGTGTGTGTGACTTGTGTTACATTGGGCTTTGTGTATGTGACTTGTGTTATGTCTGGCTTTGTGTGTGTGACTTGTGTTATGTCTGGCTTTGTGTGTGTGACTTGTGTTATGTCTGTCTTTGTATATGTGACTTGTGTTATGTGGGGCTTTGTGTGTGTGACCTGTGTTATGTCTGGCTTTGTGTGTGTGACTTGTGTTATGTCTGGCTTTGTGTTTGTGACTTGTGTTATGTCTGGCTTTGTGTGTGTGACTTGTGTTATGTCTGGCTTTGTGTATGTGACTTGTGTTATGTCTGGCTTTGTGTGTGTGACTTGTGTTATGTCTGGCTTTGTGTGTGTGAACTGTGTTATGTCTGGCTTTGTGTATGTGACTTGTGTAATATCTGGCTTTGTGTGTGTGACTTGTGTTATGTGGGGTTTTGTATATGTGACTTGTGTTATGTCTGGCTTTGTGTGTGTGACTTGTGTTATGTCTGGCTTTGTGTGTGTGACTTGTGTTATATCTGGCTTTGTATATGTGACTTGTGTTATGTGGGGCTTTGTGTGTGTGTGTAACTTTGTGTGTGTGCTTTTTATGACTTGTGTTATGTGGCTTTGTGTGTGTTTGTGTATGTGGGGCTTTGTGTGTGTGACTTGTGTTATGTCTGGCTTTGTGTGTGTGACCTGTGTTATGTCTGGCTTTGTGTGTGTGACTTGTGTAATGTCTGGCTTTGTGTTTGTGACCTTGTGTTTGTGTGACATGTGTATATATTGGCTTTGTGTATGTGAGAAATAACTTTGTGTGTGTACTTGTGTATATGTGACTTGTGTAATGTAGGGGCCTAAAGGCAATACAAGGAATATTACCTAAAGCAACATAACATTATATGCTTAGTGTACCACACTTATTGTACCACACTTTTCCAGGACCACCTATAAGCATGCTTAGTGTACCACACTTAGATGTTCTGGTTATCATCTGTCCTGTCCTTAGCTACCACCTGTATATGCATGCTTATTGTACCACACTTTGATATTCTCGCTATCATCTGTCCTTAGGACCACATTATAAGCATACTTATTGTACCACACTTTGATGTTCTGGCTATCATCTGTCCTTAGGACCACCTGTATAAGCATGCTTATTGTACCACACTTTGATGTTCTGGCTATCATCTGTCCTTAGGACCACCTGTATAAGCATGCTTATTGTACCACACTTTGATTTTCTGGCTATCATCTGTCCTTAGGACCACCTGTATAAGCATGCTTATTGTACCACACTTTGATTTTCTGGTTATCATCTGTCCTTAGGACCACCTGTATAAGCATGCTTAGTGTACCACACTTAGATGTTCTGGCTATCATCTGTCCTTAGGACCACCTGTATAAGCATGCTTATTGTACCACACTTTGATTTTCTGGCTATCATCTGTCCTTAGGACCACCTGTATATGAGCATGCTTATTGTACCACACTTTGATGTTCTGGCTATCATCTGTCCTTAGGACCACCTGTATAAGCATGCTTATTGTACCACACTTTGATGTTCTGGCTATCATCTGTCCTTAGGACCACCTGTATAAGCATGCTTATTGTACCACACTTTGATGTTCTGGCTATCATCTGTCCTTAGGACCATCTGTATAAGCATGCTTATTGTACCACACTTTGATTTTCTGGCTATCATCTGTCCTTAGGACCACCTGTATAAGAGCATGCTTATTGTACCACACTTTGATGTTCTGGTTATCATCTGTCCTTAGGACCACCTGTATAAGCATGCTTATTGTACCACACTTTGATTTTCTGGTTATCATCTGTCCTTAGGACCACCTGTATATAAGCATGCTTATTGTACCACACTGATGTTCTGGCTATTATCTGTCTTTAGGATCACCTGTATAAGCATGCTTATTGTACCACACTTTGATTTTGTAGCTATGTTCCACTTTACTAGCTATCAGCTTTACTATAAAGAATATGTACAATATTGAAACAATTCTATTTAAAATCATCATTTTTAAAATTTTTTGTGGTATGGCTTTATATATAAAATGTTTACTGCTTGTGTTGTTTTTGTACAGGCATATAACATAAAGATTGGAGATGATCTTCAGCCGATGTTAGTGAGCCGAGTTAAACTAACTGGCATGAAGACCAAAAGTCTGGAAACACTCCTCCTTGTTCCAGAGTTATGTTTTCTGACTGGTAGGAATAATGTTAACTTTTTTCTGAATAATATTGATGGAAAGAGTTAGGGAAATTCGTCATTGGTAGAAGTAGTGCCAGGACTACGTATCTACAATAAACATATTCCATAGTTTGAGAGTGGAGGCATAAATTGTGAATAGAAAGAAATCAGCGAGAAATTTTAACAATCCTTTTCTTCAAACCCAGATATGTTTAGAATCTTGGCTGCTTAAGTGGTCACTTGTCATTAACACCAACTTTCATTTCAATAATCTTTCTATGAATACAGTGCTAATCAGTCTTATTTGGCAAAAGATTGCTGACAAGCATCATAGCCTTTCATCTTGCTGTTGAAGTCTTGAGAAGTCTAACTGGGGGGTCACCATAGCTCAGTCAGTAGTATGATAACATAACCTTCACTGAAGATCTGAGGTTCTATATTCCATGGTGATTGGTGTTTCTTAGGTAGCTGAGCATCACACCAGTCTGTGTTGTCATTTTGTCCTTGGGCAAGACACTTCACTCCAATTTCTTTGGATGACATTTGGTGGGCCTCTTGTACATTGTTCAGTGAGGTAGACACCAGCTACTACAAGGAGACTATAATTGAAATGACTATGACTGTTGCCGGGCCAATAACCCTGCAAATTTAAAACAAACAGAAATCTAACTTGTAAGTCACTGTGGAGTTTTGGGCATACTTCGCTGGTCCTAGGTGTGACTGCTGTTTATAACTGCATGATCTTCATTTACTTCCATCAAGATAGATGGGGTGGGGGGAGGGGGGTTGGTTAGGGGGTGATGGGGTGGAGTGGGGCATGCTGTAATCAGGTTTTCCTTTTCACAGACATCTCCTGTTAGACTTATTTACATTCATCTTAACTAACCTCTGACATTGCTCACCTGGGTATTATTAATAACAGTTATGTGACTTTTGATACGATACTTGATCTTGATCTACTAAAGGGAATATTCCTGTTATTTAGATATTCCTGTTATTTAGATAAAGACAACTAAAGGGAATATTCCTGTTACTATAAATATAGATAAAGACAACTAAAGGGAATATTCCTGTTACTATAAATAAAGATAAAGACAACTAAAGGGAATATTCCTGTTACTATAGATATAGATAAAGACAACTAAAGGGAATATTCCTGTTACTATAGATATAGATAAAGACAACTAAAGGGAATATTCCTGTTACTATAAATAAAGATAAAGACAACTAAAGGGAATATTCCTGTTACTATAGATATAGATAAAGACAACTAAAGGGAACATTTCTGTTACTATAAATAAAGATAAAGACAACTAAAGGGAATATTCCTGTTACTATATATATAGATAAAGACAACTAAAGGGAATATTCCTGTTACTATAGATATAGATAAAGACAACTAAAGGGAATATTCCTGTTACTATAAATATAGATAAAGACAACTAAAGGGAATAACTAGGATAAAGACAACTAAAGGGAATATTCCTGTTACTATAAATAAAGATAAAGACAACTAAAGGGAATATTCCTGTTACTATAGATATAGATAAAGACAATAAAGGGAACATTTCTGTTACTATATAGATAAAGACAACTAAAGGGAATATTTCTGTTACTATAAATAAAGATAAAGACAACTAAAGGGAATATTCCTGTTACTATAGATATAGATAAAGACAACTAAAGGGAACATTTCTGTTACTATAAATAAAGATAAAGACAACTAAAGGGAATATTCCTGTTACTATAAATATAGATAAAGACAACTAAAGGGAATATTCCTGTTACTATAGATATAGATAAAGACAACTAAAGGGAATATTCCTGTTACTATAGATATAGATAAAGACAACTAAAGGGAATATTCCTGTTACTATAGATATAGATAAAGACAACTAAAGGGAACATTTCTGTTACTATAAATAAAGATAAAGACAACTAAAGGGAATATTCCTGTTACTATAAATATAGATAAAGACAACTAAAGGGAATATTCCTGTTACTATATTCCTGATATAGATAAAGACAACTAAAGGGAATATTCCTGTTACTATAGATATAGATAAAGACAACTAAAGGGAATATTCCTGTTACTATAAATATAGATAAAGACAACTAAAGGGAACATTTCTGTTACTATAAATAGATAAAGAAAACTAAGATGAATGTTCTTAACACAAAGTTTGATGGACAATTGACCACAATAGTTACTGATTGGTTCTTATTTAAATATCAGATGATATTAAAAGCTGATGTTTTATCTAAGGACCCATTTAACCCATTGATGTAATTAGTCTTTGTGACTTTTTTATGTTTGAAGATTACAAGCTTAAACATATCCAGGCAATGAGTGTGTGTATCAAGACGAGAAAAAAAATGTTTACTGATATATCCATTCGCTCACTAGCGAGTAATAATATAGTGTCAATTTTAACATTACAGGCTTGTCAGATGATGTTAGGAGAGATTTTACAGTGATGAAAGATGTTGCTTCCCACACCAGGATTGCTCCAGAGGGCAGATGCAATACCTTGTCTGGCTTCATGAATCAGATAAATACGTAAGAAAGATTTTTATGTCACCCGAGAGTTTTGTTTCAGTTCAATGATTATGCTTGGGAAGGGAAAACTTTATTTAGACAAATTGAGAACCCTGTAAATTGTAATGGGAACATGAATATTTGATAATTAATGATTTGAACAGTGAACGATACAACACAAAAATAGAAAAGTCATTTTCGGTACTAAAATGAGTCTGTCTGAATGACAACTCACCCTTTAATTTTGTGGTGATCTTTAAGACTGAGTATCACAGGAAAACCGAAATAGTGGTTGGGTTCACCTTTCACCCAGGCGTTCAGGGCTTGTTTCAGGAAACAGACATAAAAACGTATTGGATCACATGCCTGATCATGTCGGTTTTCCAGGGGAACTCCAGTTTCTTCCATCAGTAAGATCCCTCAGGTGCTTCCACCCAGGCCAACAGGAGTGATTTATATAGAAATGTGATTAGTGAAATTAATGATGATGCTAACACAGTTGGAATCTTGGTGATATTTCCTACTTAGTTATTTTCAGAAATCGGGTACCTACCTAAAGAATATTTGGTCTGGATGCTTAGTTAATTCCTCATACTATCACTACCAACATGTGCACACTCTGAAAATTTGAGGTAAAATTTCATCTGTTGTTTTTAGAACACCAAAGGTTGTGGAAGAGCTGAGAGGATGGAGACTTCGGTTCTCACAGAACCTTCTGCAGCTAGGAGGACGTGTCTTACCAAAGGAAGCCATTTACCTGTCAAATGCCCAGGTAATTTGAGTTGTTTGAGACATAAAAGCTGAGAAGAGCAAGACAGCTTTGGGGGGACTATTTCTACTTTCTTCACTGATGTTACAGTTCAGTTGGTAGAACTGCTCTTTGTCAATCCCGGCTTCATATTGTCCCTAACATATCTCCTACACTCATTGACCAATCTTCAGCTAAATTTTACAATTAAATATCTTATGTGAAATGTTGTAATCTGAAATAAGATTGTGTTTACTTTTTTTACAGTGCTGATTGTACAAAGATTGTTCAAGGTTTGTCTTTACGTCCTGTGTATTTCTGACCTACATTTTGTCTGTTTGTCTTTACGTCCTGTATATTTCTGACCTACATTTTGTCTAATGTTTGTCTTTACGTCCTGTATATTTATGACCTACATTTTGTCTGTTTGTCTTTACGTCCTGTATATTTCTGACCTACATTTTGTCTGTTTGTCTTTACGTTCCTACATTTTGTCTGTTTGTCTTTACGTCCTGTATATTTCTGACCTACATTTTGTCTGTTTGTCTTTACGTCCTGTATATTTCTGACCTACATTTTGTCTAATGTTTGTCTTTACGTCCTGTATATTTATGACCTACATTTTTTGTGTCTTAATGTTTGTATTTCTACGTACATTTTGTCTTATGTTTGTCTTTACGTCCTGACCTGACATTTTTTCTTATGTTTGTCTTTACGTCCTGTGTATTTATGACCTACATTTTGTCTAATGTTTGTCTTTACGTCCTGTGTATTTATGGCCTACATTTTGTCTAATGTTTGTCTTTACGTCCTGTGTATTTATGACCTACATTTTGTCTGTTTGTCTTTACGTCCTGTATATTTCTGACCTACATTTTGTCTGTTTGTCTTTACGTCCTGTATATTTCTGACCTACATTTTGTCTGTTTGTCTTTACGTCCTGTATATTTCTGACCTACATTTTGTCTGTTTGTCTTTACATCCTGTATATTTCTGACCTACATTTTGTCTGTTTGTCTTTACGTCCTGTATATTTCTGACCTACATTTTGTCTAATGTTTGTCTTTACGTCCTGTATATTTATGACCTACATTTTGTCTGTTTGTCTTTACGTCCTGTATATTTCTGACCTACATTTTGTCTTATGTTTGTCTTTACGTCCTGTGTATTTATGACCTACATTTTTTCTTATGTTTGTCTTTACGTCCTGTGTATTTATGACCTACATTTTGTCTAATGTTTGTCTTTACGTCCTGTGTATTTATGACCTACATTTTGTCTTATGTTTGTCTTTACGTCCTGTGTATTTATGGCCTACATTTTGTCTAATGTTTGTCTTTACGTCCTGTGTATTTATGACCTACATTTTGTCTAATGTTTGTCTTTACGTCCTGTGTATTTATGACCTACATTTTGTCTTATGTTTGTCTTTACGTCCTGTGTATTTATGACCTACATTTTGTCTGTTTGTCTTTACGTCCTGTGTATTTATGACCTACATTTTGTCTTATGTTTGTCTTTACGTCCTGTGTATTTTTGACCTACATTTTGTCTTATGTTTGTCTCACTTCCTGTATATTTCTGCAGTGTAACTACAATCAGGAGGATGCTGATTGGAGCAGAGATCTTTGTGGCAAGGAAATGATAACAAGTGTATCTCTAGTTAATTGGGTAATTTGTTATACCAAGCGTGATACAGGAAAAGCCTCAGATCTGGTGAACACACTTAGTAAGGTGGGACCACCAATGGGCATGACGATCAACTGCCCACAGCAGTAAGTACACACTTAGTAAGGTGGGACCACCAATGGGCATGACGATCAACTGCCCACAGCAGTAAGTACACACTTAGTAAGGTGGGACCACCAATGGGCATGACGATCAACTGCCCACAGCAGTAAGTACACACTTAGTAAGGTGGGACCACCAATGGGCATGAGGATCAACTGCCCACAGCAGTAAGTACACACTTAGTAAGGTGGGACCATCAATGGGCATGACGATCAACTGCCCACAGCAGTAAGTACACACTTAGTAAGGTGGGACCACCAATGGGCATGACGATCAACCGCCCACAGCAGTAATTACACACTTAGTAAGGTGGGACCACCAATGGGCATGATGATCAACTGCCCACAGCAGTAAATACACACTTAGTACGGTGGGACCAGCAATGGGCATGACGATCAACTGCCCACAGCAGTAAGTACACACTTAGTAAGGTGGGACCACCAATGGACATGACGATCAACCGCCCACAGCAGTAAGTACACACTTAGTAAGGTGGGACCAGCAATGGGCATGACGATCAACTGCCCACAGCAGTAAGTACACACTTAGTAAGGTGGGACCAGCAATGGGCATGACGATCAACTGCCCACAGCAGTAAGTACTCACTTAGTAAAGTGGGACTTCCAATGGGCATGAGGATCAACTGCCCACAGCAGTAAGTACACACTTAGTAAGGTGGGACCAGCAATGGGCATGACGATCAACCGCCCACAGCAGTAAGTACACACTTAGTAAGGTGGGACCAGCAATGGGCATGAGGATCAACCACCCACAGCAGTAAGTACACACTTAGTAAGGTGGGACCACCAATGGGCATGACGATCAACCGCCCACAGCAGTAAGTACACACTTAGTAAGGTGGGACCACCAATGGGCATGACGATCAACCGCCCACAGCTGTAAGTACACACTTAGTAAGGTGGGACCACCAATGGACATGATGATCAACTGCCCACAGCAGTAAATACACACTTAGTAAAGTGGGACCACCAATGGACATGAGGCCCAAAGCAGTAAGTACACACTTAGTAAAGTGGGACCACCAATGGGAATGATGATCAACTGCCCACAGCAGTAAGTACACACTTAGTAAGGTGGGACCACCAATGGACATGATGATCAACTGCCCACAGCAGTAAGTGAACTACTTAAGTCATGTAATATTGGATTGTTTGGTGTTATGTGACAAACATTTCTTCGGGATGTACACAGACCATGTGACCTAATCATTTTTTCGGGAGGTACACAGACCATGTGACCTAATCATTTTTTCGGGAGGTACACAGACCATGTGACCTAATCATTTTTTCGGGAGGTACACAGACCATGTGACCTAATCATTTTTTCGGGAGGTACACAGACCATGTGACCTAATCATTTTTTCGGGAGGTACACAGACCATGTGACCTAATCATTTTTTCGGGAGGTACACAGACCATGTGACCTTATAATAATCAATGATTTTAGTGTATAGGTGATACATATATCAAAACCAAATTCTATATTCCATAAATTTCTAGTCGGTCAGCTGTCAGGATTGACATGTCAATAAATAAAAGGTGTATGCAAGTTATTTCTAGACATGACCAGTTCATAGCAAACCCATTTGTAAGATCAATTTTAAATGGTTTTTAAAATTTTGGTTGTCGTTGGTGGATGATAAAGGGTCACAATTAAGATGTGAAGGTTTTAAGATTTTAATTGTTGTTGGTTGATGGTGAAGGATAAAAAGATTTTAGTAGTCATTGGTTGATGTTGAAGGGTCAAAGTTCACATTTTACTTCTTTTGAAAAACTGAAGCTGTAGTTACAGATTGTGCTGTACACCATTCCATTATTGGGAGTGGAGGGATGGAGAGTGGAGCATGCCTGTGGAAACCCCTGCTTACCCTGGTTTTGTTTTGTTTCCATAGATGTTTGTGGAATGACGATAGCTTTTCTACTTTCCTGAACAATTTAAAGAGATATGTAACAAGAGAAACTCAGCTAGTTCTGTGCATCCTGCCCACCACAAGAAAGGATCGGTATGATGCAATCAAAAAGGCTTGCTGTGTTGACCATCCAGGTAGGATTGGAGTAATTGTGTATAAAATAGCTAGCCTGATGAGAGATAATATCCATCAGTAAATTGTTAATGAAAGGATAACATTTCTTTTGTTTTAAATTTACTGTATGCTGTCGCCATTTGGTCAGTTCAGGTGGCATATTGTCTCATCATACTCGAATGAAACACTCGATATAGAAGTCAAGGTCATCACCTTCTTTTATAGGTCAAACAATCATACTTGTTTGTGGTTTCCATCTTGAGGACATCTCTCAAGCCTATCAATGATTCTCTTGTTATATGATACAGACGTTGTTGTAAACATACACACAGATCACACACAGATCACCTTCTGGATGTATACACACAGATCACACACAGATCACACACAGATCACCCTCTGGATGTATACACACAGATCACACACAGATCACCCTCTGGATGTATACACACAGATCACACACAGATCACACACAGATCACCCTCTGGATGTATACACACAGATCACACACAGATCACACACAGATCACCCACTGGATGTATACACACAGACCACCCTCTGGATGTATACACACAGATCACACACAGATCACCCTCTGGATGTATACACACAGACCACCCTCTGGATGTATACACACAGATCACACACAGATCACCCTCTGGATGTATACACACAGATCACACACAGATCACCCTCTGGATGTATACACACAGATCACACACAGATCACACACTCCAGATGTATCACACACACACAGATACACACACACACAGACACAGATGTATACACACAGATCACACACAGATCACCCACTGGATGTATACACACAGATCACCCACTAGATGTATACACACAGATCACACACAGATCACCCTCTGGATGTATACACACAGATCACCCTCTGGATGTATACACACAGATCACACACAGATCACCCTCTGGATGTATACACACAGATCACACACAGATCACCCTCCAGATGTATACACACAGATCACACACAGATCACCCACTGGATGTATACACACAGATCACCCACTAGATGTATACACACAGATCACACACAGATCACCCTCTGGATGTATACACACAGATCACACACAGATCACCCCATGGATGTAAACACACAGATCACACACATATCACCCACTGGATGTAAACACACAGTTCACACACAGATCACCCTCTGGATGTATACCAATCTTAAGAAATAATATCCAAGAATTGATAAATTTTCATGTTGTGTTCAGATAAAAGTTTCATCCCAACTAAAACAATAGCTTGTGTGTACTACATAATTGGTATAATTGCTGATAAACATTTTTGTTTAGTGCCTAGCCAGTGTGTGGTAGCCCGTACTCTGGCTAAGAAACAGATGTTGATGTCTGTGGCAACAAAGATTGCCATTCAGCTTAACTGTAAACTTGGTGGAGAGGTCTGGCGTCTTGACATTCCTGTAAGTTCTACAAAAAAATGTTATGTTAATAAGGGACATAAACAACTTCTTTTGTTATTTGTTTGAAATAATTTTTTCTTCAAAATCACAGAGATGTTTAAATGACCATCACCATTCCATGGTCATATGGAATGGTTCCTTGGTCCCTCATTGTACATACTTGACAAATAACAAGATACTCCTTGAAGTAGAACAACACACACTGACCAGCACAAAGACCTTTTTGTTAAACTAGCTCTGGATTGACAAGAATTATTGTAGAAATATTTGCTCTAAGATTTGATATCAAGAAGTCTTTACAATTTATCTTTTCTCCAAAATAGCTGAAGAATTTGATGGTTATCGGTATTGATACGTACCATGACTCGGCTAGAAAAGGCAGATCTGTTGGAGGTGTGGTATGTAGCATTAACAGATCCATCACAAGGTTCTACTCCAGATGTACCTTCCAGCACACTGCGCAGGAGCTCAACGATGGACTCAAGATCTGTGTTAGAGGTAGGGAGGGTAAAGATCTGAAGATCTGTGTTCAAGATAGGGAGGGTAAAGTTCTGTGTTAAAGGTAGGGATGGTAAAGATCTGTGTTAGAGGTAGGGAGGGTAAAGATCTGTGTTAAAGGTAGGGAGCGTAAAGTTCTGTGTTAAAGGTAGGGAGGGTAAAGATCTGTGTTAAAGGTAGGGAGGGTAAAGATCTGTGTTAAAGGTATTGAGGGTAAAGGTCTGTCTTAAAGGTATTGAGGGTAAAGATCTGTCTTAAAGGTAGGGAGGGTAAAGTTCTGTGTTAAAGGTAGGGAGGGTAAAGTTCTGTGTTAAAGGTAGGGAGGGTAAAGTTCTGTGTTAAAGGTAGGGAGGGTAAAGATCTGTGTTAAAGGTAGGGAGAATAAAGTTCTGTGTTAAAGGTAGGAGGATAGAAATCACAACTAGTTGATCACCGATTGATACATTTAAGCAAGTGTGTTCTTTTACAGGTAAAATCTTGGGGCTCACTTTCCATAATTTTTCAAGAATTTACCACCTCTTGGTTTTGTATATAGATATAGCTGTATAAATCTACTGATACTAATTTATCATGAATATTACGAATTTGTGGTCGAAGTAAAATCAACAAAAATAATACCTCTCCACAAAAAATAATTCTTTCACTGTAATTTTCTTACCCAGTATAGTTGCATCCCTGCTTTGAATTCTGTTTGATTTCCTTGTCATACCCGAGGGGTAGATGGGGGATCATTCTGACAGGCCAACAGGATAATGATGTCGCAACAAGAATGCCAAGCATGGAGATAACATCAATATTTCATGTTTAGATGCCAAAAAGGGAGAAAATAATCCTTCAGTTCCCTTTAGGGTGAGATACGGTGGTCTCAACCCTCAGGGAAAGATTATTAAGTAGGCAAACTTTCCGCAGCCACATGTTGTCTGACCTTGTTTTTTTGCCTGGAGTTGAGATCATCCTATTTCACCCTTAAGGGAAAGATTTTATTAATCTTCAGTTAACAAACATTGAAAATGTAAAATTTTTGGTAGTAATTTTATGATGTTCAAAGTAGAATCATTTCTGATGATCAAAATTATTTTAAAGATGTAGTTTTATGAAAATATCAATTTGAAGTATACAGCCATGTATTTGTTCCCCTGATGTGGGGCATAAACATTTATGATAACAAATAGAAACGATTTGTGAATAATCTGTGTTTGATTGTAGATGCATTGAGAAAATATCATGAAGTGAATGGCATGTTGCCAGAAAAGATCGTCATCTTCAGAGACGGTGTTGGGGATGGACAGCTCCCAGCCGTACATGAACATGAGGTGCCACAAGTTATAGGTACAATCAGGGAGTGTGCTGGAGATGATTACAAGTAAGTTAGACTTATTGTGGTATCCAAATTCAACTGTAGCTCCGGGTCATCTGTTGTTAAGTTACCTTCCTGATATCTGAGAATAGGATGAAAATTTCTGAATGAAATTATATATAACTAAAGATTCACTTTCAATAATTGTTTTTATATGTCAGTGAGATTAGACACCTGAGTGAGCATATTCAAATCTTCTCTAAACTTCTATACATATAATGTTATAATTACAAGGAAATATGAACATTTCAACGTAATCATAATTCAAACTCAAATTCAATAATATTACGGCAAAAATGTCAACAAAAGAAAGATTTACAGAGGGACTCCGGAAAAAGTACTGAAAAAGGAGAATAAGACCAGGTGTTGTGGAAGAGTAAGCATCTTCTGCTTCATCCATGACACCCACCATGTAAATCTTTGTCAATCCTACTCAATAGTTTTTTTCACAATGATAATTGTAATACAGATATAGTTTATAGCTGATCAGTTCACACAAATCAAATATATCTGCATTTTAAGAAAAAAATGTTGCTGTTTTACAATATAAAAAGCAAAACTTTTTGTAGAAAGTTTAGCATTGTCCATTAATTCTTTTAGTTTGATTTATTATAGGAAAGTCATTGCTATTAAGTTACATGTTTTATGATATTGAAGGGACAATATAGATAATTATTTTTACACATTTTGATACCGTTATGTGCTATTTTTGGGCATTAGGCAGAAGTATGAGAATTTTACTTAACAAATAAAAAGGAATATCAGAATTTGTATTAGAGGCAGCTGTGTCAGGTTTCAGTGAAATATGGTTAAAAAAACACAGCAGTCGACAAAGCATTCCTTCCAACTTTGTCATACTCACTGCTTCCAGTCTTTGTACATGGAACAAAATCTTCATCGGTGAAACATTGTTGCACCACTGTAACTGCCATTGTTACTGTTACGGTGTGATTGGTGTGATGGTTTTGTCTAATGACAGGACCTGTGTAAGGTCTCCTCACACATATTCAGTGAGGTTTCAGCCTGTTACAAATGGTCTGTTGTACATATTGTTCTATCTGCAATCTCCTTGTTAATATAATTCAAATTGGCAATGTAACAATGATTATTGTGGGAAAACAAATTGTCATTTTTGTACATAAATACTGCTCATTGATATAAAGGTGTGAGTAGTGACCCTGTCCCTTAATTCTTTCACTTTTTATAATGTTGGAGGTCTGACATCTTTGCGAAATGTTATCATGATTCTGTATTTATTGCAGTTGCAAGGTTGCAGTTGTTGTAGTAAAGAAGAGGATAAACAGTCGATTCTTTGCAAAGGCTGGAGTAACATTCACTAACCCAGTACCAGGAACAGTTATTGATACAGAGGTCACTAAACCAGAGTGGTAAGTACCAGGAACAGTCATTGATACAGAGGTCACTAAACCAGAGTGGTAAGTACCAGGAACAGTCATTGATACAGAGGTCACTAAACCAGAGTGGTAAGTACCAGGAACAGTCATTGATACAGAGGTCACTAAACCAGAGTGGTAAGTACCAGGAACAGTCATTGATACAGAGGTCACTAAACCAGAGTGGTAAGTACCAGGAACAGTTATTGATACAGAGGTCACTAAACCAGAGTGGTAAGTACCAGGAACAGTCATTGATACAGAGGTCACTAAACCAGAGTGGTAAGTACCAGGAACAGTAATTGATACAGAGGTCACTAAACCAGAGTGGTAAGTACCAGGAACAGTCATTGATACAGAGGTCACTAAACCAGAGTGGTAAGTACCAGGAACAGTCATTGATACAGAGGTCACTAAACCAGAGTGGTAAGTACCAGGAACAGTCATTGATACAGAGGTCACTAAACCAGAGTGGTAAGTACCAGGAACAGTAATTGATACAGAGGTCACTAAACCAGAGTGGTAAGTACCAGGAACAGTCATTGATACAGAGGTCACTAAACCAGAGTGGTAAGTACCAGGAACAGTAATTGATACAGAGGTCACTAAACCAGAGTGGTAAGTACCAGGAACAGTCATTGATACAGAGGTCACTAAATTGATAGAGTGGTAAGTACCAGGAACAGTAATTGATACAGAGGTCACTAAACCAGAGTGGTAAGTACCAGGAACAGTCATACAGAGGTCACTAAACCAGAGTGGTAAGTACCAGGAACAGTAATTGATACTAAACCAGAGTGGTAAGTACCAGGAACAGTAATTGATACAGAGGTCACTAAACCAGAGTGGTAAGTACCAGGAACAGTCATTGATACAGAGGTCACTAAACCAGAGTGGTAAGTACCAGGAACAGTAATTGATACAGAGGTCACTAAACCAGAGTGGTAAGTACCAGGAACAGTAATTGATACAGAGGTCACTAAACCAGAGTGGTAAGTACCAGGAACAGTAATTGATACAGAGGTCACTAAACCAGAGTGGTAAGTACCAGGAACAGTCATTGATACAGAGGTCACTAAACCAGAGTGGTAAGTACCAGGAACAGTCATTGATACAGAGGTCACTAAACCAGAGTGGTAAGTACCAGGAACAGTCATTGATACAGAGGTCACTAAACCAGAGTGGTAAGTACCAGGAACAGTAATTGATACAGAGGTCACTAAACCAGAGTGGTAAGTACCAGGAACAGTCATTGATACAGAGGTCACTAAACCAGAGTGGTAAGTACCAGGAACAGTCATTGATACAGAGGTCACTAAACCAGAGTGGTAAGTACCAGGAACAGTCATTGATACAGAGGTCACTAAACCAGAGTGGTAAGTACCAGGAACAGTCATTGATACAGAGGTCACTAAACCAGAGTGGTAAGTACCAGGAACAGTCATTGATACAGAGGTCACTAAACCAGAGTGGTAAGTACCAGGAACAGTCATTGATACAGAGGTCACTAAACCAGAGTGGTAAGTACCAGGAACAGTCATTGATACAGAGGTCACTAAACCAGAGTGGTAAGTACCAGGAACAGTCATTGATACAGAGGTCACTAAACCAGAGTGGTAAGTACCAGGAACAGTCATTGATACAGAGGTCACTAAACCAGAGTGGTAAGTACCAGGAACAGTCATTGATACAGAGGTCACTAAACCAGAGTGGTAAGTACCAGGAACAGTAATTGATACAGAGGTCACTAAACCAGAGTGGTAAGTACCAGGAACAGTCATTGATACAGAGGTCACTAAACCAGAGTGGTAAGTACCAGGAACAGTCATTGATACAGAGGTCACTAAACGAGAGTGGTAAGGAGCAGATTTAATTGTCTAGACTATTGTTATGACCTCAGTTTAAGGCTGGTAGACATAACATCTTAAGCGTATTTTAAACTTACATATACTTTATGCTCTGTATAGTTTTAGACCATATTACAGTACTAGTCTAGCATCAATTTCGGCCTGCTTATAAGCCTGTTTGTTTTTAATGCAGTTCTTTATTACTGTCCTTTCAACCTTAAGAATTTGTGTTGACTCATTGTCGTAACTCATTTTTAATGATTCTGTAATTGTACCTTTCTCTGTCATTCATCCATTAACTATTACTTCACTCACTCATTAAAAGATATTTTGAAATGTTTAGAACTAATTAATATCTTAATACTATATTGTAATTTTACAAGGCCTAAAAATACCCATTTTTCTTGACGTATCAGACCATTTTCAAGTAAGGAGTGTTGTTAATGAAATTCTGATTCCTTCTCCTTAGACTACTGTTTGAAAAAAACATCAAAGTGTTTCCTTGAGGTATGCATTCAGTTCTGTTTGCTGAAAATGTTGAACCAGTTGACAGAAAAGATATTCAATAGGAAGAAAATAGTAGCTTTCATTTTACTGTACATCTGTTTAGTTGTAAGTTCATGTATTCGTGTTTTTAATTAGGTTTGACTTCTTCCTGGTGTCACAGTCAGTGCGACAAGGAACAGTAACTCCTACACATTTCAATGTTATCTTTGATACAACTGGTCTAAAGCCTGACCACATGCAGAGACTCACCTACAAGATGACACATCTCTACTACAACTGGCCGGTAAGTTATACCTAGTGATATTCACCAGAGAAAATAAATCTGTTACTTGTGTTCAGTACAATATACTTACTTGTGTTAAGTAAACTGCTGTCTGATCTGTGATAAAACAAATACCTTTTGGCTCAGCATTATTGCTATCACCTGCTTGCATTGTTATTATTTCTAAGATATCCAAGAAAGACTTTGGATCAGGTTTATCACAAAGTTGGGAAGCAGTCATGTGACCTTGAACTTTATCTTACGTTCAAATTTGTTTTAAAAACAGACTTTTTAGTAGTAGAAGACTTCAATTTAAGGTTAAACTTAGTACTGTGATAAGTTTTTTTACAAGCTGAAAGTGAGGTTATAGTATAAAGTCTAAATTTCTTATTTCAGGGAACCATACGTGTGCCAGCTCCATGCCAATATGCACACAAGCTTGCCTTTCTCGTGGGACAGTCACTTCACAAGGAGCCTTCCTTAGACCTTGCTGATCGTCTTTACTTCCTGTAAAACATACATTAACCTGACAAAGTCAAGCATTACCATGAACTACTTACTCTCTACAAGAACTTTTTACTGAGGATGTCATAATTATTACAAACATAAACCAGGTATTTTTTTACTTATTGATGTTGATCAATTTTATTGATTTTATTGATCAGATGTCATCAGTAAATCAGACTTACTCCAAGTTACCCATATATCAGCTATTGTTTGGTGTCCTTAATGTTACAGTTTTTGATACCCATTCACAGTTAATCAAAACATGTGTATAGACAGAGATGTTATATATGTCTTTGGTATAGATTATAGGTCAATATACAAGACAGGAATGATATGTATTCATGAATAGTTGACCAATAATAACTTAAACATTGTGCTGTCATACGACCCAATTTGTACATCTTTGATACAGGGCTGTGCTCTAGTGAGCTACTGGGTATCACTATGTTAGGGTGTCAGTCCTTATATTTTACATATTACAGGTCGATCATCTTTACAATTATGCAATGTTTTTATTACAAAATACCTATCACCACATTTATCCTGTGACAAGCAAAATATGTTAACCTATAACTATTGACTCTATAATTCAGTGGATGTTTTATCTCAAATGATGAAATATGTTGTAACAAAATAAGAGACAAACTCGGCTGCTGGTACTTCTGTAGTTTATTGCTGGCACTGGATACAGGTGTGGTGTCGTCTGTCCGTCTGGTGGGCTCCCCCAAGGCAGTGTCTTCTAACCTAAAGATCTCCCCCTTTTATCTTACTCTGGACCAAGCTTGTCTGGCCATCCCCTAATATGGCCTTCATTTGTTGCTAGATGATACGATTGTTAAATATGCCCACCTGTACAAGGTTGAGATTCCCCTGCTAATTTGTTACTTGAAATAGACTCTAATGATTACTCTACTGCTAGGTGGCCACTGTCTGAACGGGAAATTGCATAAGTTTGATTATCAAGGAAGTGGGGATAGTCTCTAATTAATTAACTGGCCAAAGCTGTACACCCACTGATAAGATTATCCTGGCCCAGACTACACCAACCTAAGTGTATATATGCATGTAATTATCCACGCCCTTGTGAACTACCTATGTGTGTTATATTGATATACTTTTGAACATTAAAAAAACTATTGTTTAAGCTAACTTATTTCAACCAGATCCAGATGTTGTTACAACAAGACAGCTGATGTCTAACTTTGATCTACAGTATGTTGTATAATACAAGACAGCTGATGTCTATCTTTGATCTACAGTATGTTGTATAAGACAGTTGGATCTACAGTATGTTGTATAATACAAGACAGCTGATGTCTATCTTTGATCTACAGTATGTTGTATAAGACAAGACAGCTGATGTCTATCTTTGATCTACAGTATGTTGTATAATACAAGACAGCTGATGTCTATCTTTGATCTACAGTATGTTGTATAATACAAGACAGCTGATGTCTATCTTTGATCTACAGTATGTTGTATAATACAAGACAGCTGATGTCTATCTTTGATCTACAGTATGTTGTATAATACAAGACAGCTGATGTCTATCTTTGATCTACAGTATGTTGTATAATACAAGACAGCTGATGTCTATCTTTGATCTACAGTATGTTGTATAATACAGCTGATGTCTATCTTTGATCTACAGTATGTTGTATAATACAGCTGATGTCTATCTTTGATCTACAGTATGTTGTATAATACAAGACAGCTGATGTCTATCTTTGATCTACAGTATGTTGTATAATACAGCTGATGTCTATCTTTGATCTACAGTATGTTGTATAATACAAGACAGCTGATGTCTATCTTTGATCTACAGTATGTTGTATAAGACAGCTGATGTCTATCTTTGATCTACAGTATGTTGTATAAGACAGCTGATGTCTAACTTTGATCTACAGAATGTTGTATAATACAAGACAGCTGATGTCTATCTTTGATCTACAATATGTTGTATAATACAAGACAGCTGATGTCTATCTTTGATCTGGAGTATGTTGTATAATACAGCTGATGTCTAACTTTGATCTACAGTATGTTGTATAATACAAGACAGCTGATGTCTATCTTTGATCTACAATATGTTGTATAATACAAGACAGTTGATGTCTATCTTTGATCTGGAGTATGTTGTATAATACAGCTGATGTCTATCTTTTTTCTGTAGTATGTTGTATAATACAAGGCGGCTGATGTCTATTGTTACACAGTAGGCGTAAACACACCGTACTTGTTGGTAACAGCTATGTTTATTACATGTTGAATAATAATAATGTTACATGTACAAAAGCAACACTTCATCAACATACAGAGTTCATATACTCATACTAGTGCTTCACGTTGTGTCTCGTATCAGAACTGTCCATCTGGTGGGCTCCCCAAAGGCAGTGTAGAGTTGGTTATGTTTGTTTAACTTTGGTTTGTTTGTGGTAAGGAAATAAGAAAATAGATAGCCATCACATTATTTTAAAGTGAATCAAAATATAAGAAATATCCGGTATTCATGTATTCCTTGATAAAAGCTGATGGAAAAATTAGATATTAAACAACTATACAGTATATTGGATTTTCCAAATTTCACTTTATCCTGAAGTAATATCTTTATGAATTCTTTTTATCTTACAGCTGGAATTGTATACACCTATCACATATATTTTCTGAATTCTGACAATGATGGAAAACAGGTATATTTTTACTTGTAGATATTGTGCAAATCACCTAAACTGTATGAAAAATATTTTTTGAAAATATAAATAAATGTTCAAATTTTATTGAAAGTATTTAAGTAGTTTTAGAAACAAAAACAAAACTGCCTGTGTATATTTTCTTGGAACTTTTATTTTCAAAAAGTGTTTTTATTCAGATAAACTAAAATGGCTTGCTACGTTTGTCTTTCTTTATCCTCATAAAAATACTGTCTATATTGTATAGTGTTGTATTTGATACCAAACAAACCTATACATTACAACATGTAGTATGTAGAAGGTAGGAAACAAACTTTATATTATAGTAATTAATATCTTTATAATCAAAGACACTGAGCGTGTGGTCTATAATTTTTCATATAATACATTTTTATATATTTTAGCCCACCATCATCAGATGGTAGGTTATTCAAATCACTCTATGGCCGTGGTCAGTCTGTCCGTCCAAAAACAATTTTGTTATCGCTATTTCTTGAGAAGTACAGGATGGATCTTTCTTAAATTTAATATGTAGGTTCCCTTTGGTCTCTACTTATGCTGTTTGATTTTAGGACTGATCAAGAAAAACAAAATGGCTTCCAGGCGACCATCTTGGCAGGTTAATATTATTATTGCTATTTCTGCAAAGGAATGTTCCAATTTCCTATCATTAAGAGTGAAAACAGAGAAAAGAAGGGAAAAGATCCAACATTCAAAGAGCATATAAACATCAAACAATGGTCGGCGCCAAGATCCCTCTGGGATCTCTTGATAATGAAAAAGATTGATAGAATATATGGCTGATGTGAAGTTGTACAAAAGTGCCTTTATAGCAGTTTTTACCTTCATATCACCACTAATAGTGTTCTTGAAGTGTATCTTGGTAAAACGGCCCCACGATCAAGGCCAGTTCAGTGCTGTTGAGGCTGTGTCCTTGGGCAGGCTTATTTACCTTGTTGTCTTGGTTAGCATGTGTTAGGACTCCAACATTGTGGAGGTGACAACCAATCATTGGTTGTATGGAAGCCTTTGCATGTTTTTTTTTCTATTTTGTTCTATTGGGAATTATTGGGAATTACTTAATGTGAAATATCTATTTTTGGAGAGGTGTAAATCAATGTTATATTTTAATTGTTACTTTGTGCAACATTTTTTGTTTGTAAATATCACCAGCAATATGTTAGATATTTTATTGTTTGCATAATTTTATACAAATAAGACAAAGATTTTGTTGTTATAACTTGTTCTTGTAGAAAAATTAAAATGATATATTAAATTACAATGTTTTTCTTTTCTCTAAAACCCCAATATACTCTATATGATTATTCGGTTTTTCTCTTTGTACTCTACTATAACCTATTTCCAAACATAATGTCATATCTTCATTCTTTGGTTGGCAGTGCAAAGATATGTCTGTGAACTCAACTGGAGCATCTTTTTTATGAAAAGTTTGTCAAAAGTCACAGACACAACCAATGAACTTTTGAATTGGAAATCCTTTATTTTCCATAATGGGACCCATCTCTTTGTTGCTAGAGAGGTCAGATCCACCATTTGTAAAAAAAAACTTGTAAACCACAAAAAAAAACGGTTTCATACCAAATTATGACAAAATTCTGTGATTTGTACAGAAGAAGGATTTATAAAATTTTGCAAAATTGTTTATGTTTGGCACTGCCCCTTAATCTACACTAATGATTCATACTAAATTGAGTCAAAGGATGTTTCTGAATAATTTGGCCAAAATATCTTCATCCCAACAAAAGATGAATGATTTTAAAGCTATTCCTCCTTATTCCCTGTTTGCCTGTATTAGGCTCCATCCATGTTCTCCAATGGGCATTGGACCCATTTATGGGACTCTTCCATACAGAGTGGGTTCTTCTTCCCCAAGGATTACTTCTGACCAGATAAGGAGCAAATCCCATCATCCCAACAGATAAAAGAGGAATTAAAACAACTTACTCCAGTGTGTGTCTATTGTGCCAATGTGTAAGTGTGAGGGTGTGAGGGTCAGTGTGTGGGAATCCAATTCACCCAAGGATGCCTCTAACCAAATCTAGATAAATTTCTTTCATTGCTTCTAAAAAAGAATTTCCCATAATAGGCTCTGATTTCAGGGGCACATATCCTTCCTATATATGAAATGAATTCCCTAAAATGTCCTGCTGTCCAAATTTGATGAAAGAAGAAGAATTTTATATTTATATTCCTGTATATTCCATCTCAAGCCCTGCACTCTCTGGCCCATCAATTTATACAATTTGGTTTCCTCTTCCCCCAAGGATGCTTCTTGCCAAAATTCAATACACCTTC